TTGAATACATTTAAAGCTGATTCAAAGGCACATCCTGATTGTCAAGGGTGTCATGTCTCGAAATGAAGGGAAAAAGTTGATATAAGTGAAATACTATTGATTTTAGGTGTAACTTATATTGTTCTGCATTATAAATTTCCATGTAAAATGAATAACCATTGTAACTTATTGGAATAATATATTTTTTTAAATATCATACTGAATTTCAATACTAAGGTAAATTTTATTATCATTATTTTCATTATTGCTACTTCATAATCTATTGGAATTGGTGCGAGTGTTAACAGTATCATAACAATTATCATCAAAGTTATTCTCTTTATGATATGCTTATTGTTCATTCTTTGTATTTCATATTATTTTCGTTTCTTGTCTGCATAAGGGGTATCGATATATTTCATTACCTACTGTCTCCGTGTATTACTATAATAAAGATTTTTTTTACATTCAAAAGTTCAATAGGCATGACTTTCCTTGCGCAGTCTGTTTGTTATCATTTTTGTCTATTGAGTTTTTTTTGTAGCAAAGGTATGAAGGAGAATGAATATCTTCATAAAGGGATGTATTTTAATCGGCATTTCTGACGATACGAAACCGGTTGTATTGAGAAATTTTTCGTTCTCCTTCATACTTTTTTCTACGTTTGTCAAGTTTTGTTTTTGGATTGTGTAACTTTGAATATAATTCATGGATACTGGTACAATAAAACAATATGGCGTTTTTCATGTTTTTAATACTCAATACTTTAACATGAAATGTTTTTTTTTAGATTTTTTTACAAACTTGTACGTATGCACTCCTGAAAACTTCCGAGATAACGCATGTATATATATATATATATATATATATATATATATATATATATATATATATATATATATATATATATATATATATATATATATATATATATATATATATATATATATATATATATGTATATATATATATTATATATATATATATATATATATATATATATATATATATATATATATATATATGTATATATATATATATATATATATATATATATATATATATATATATATATATATATATATACATATATATGAAGGAGAATGGAGAGACAGGGATATTGAAAAGAACATGAAAGAGACAGATAAGTAGAGTTGGATATAAGATAATAAAAGGAATATGAATTATTTCTCAACAAAGTATAACATTTGGACTGAACGTACCTAAGCAATTAATAACATTACGTCAAGATAATCATTATGACTATCTTATTTTTAAAAAATGAAACTTCGGGTGACAGGTGCTACAACCTCATTATAGGTGAGTGATGACTTTCAAAAAATATATAGATAAAAAAAACAAGACAATAAAAAACAAAAACAAAAAAAATAACTTAACTGCTATACAGTGGGCCATAATCTAAGCCTAAAAGATTAACATCAGTAATTATGATATAAATTTTCACTTTCGATTTCTCAGGTCACGACACGCCCATGCTTAACTGATCGCGAACTGAGTAAGTGATAATGCAGCCAGATATTAAGGCCTTTTTAATCATTACTTTAATAGGTTAACATAGACTTAGATTGCCCGTTGTCTTTCTTACAAATTATGTACACTGGTTTTGTGGCAATTTGACCCTTACTCACTCGTACCTTAAGAGGTATTGCCTTCGTCTCTATATAAAAAAGACAGATTTATGTGAAGCTGCCTCTGTTGAAATAAATGTATTTTCACTCATTGAACAGATCGATTTTTTACTGAATCCCATGCGTCAATTATGCTAAAATTTGATGAAAAAATTACCTGTGTGGGAACCAGCAAACACGCTAAAAAAATATCGTATTTTTTCGAACTATCGTAATCTTCCGCCACGCATCGTCCCTATGACTTTAACAACAGGAAACAACAACAATTTTTTTCTTTTTTTTTGAAAAAAGACAAGATTACATTTTTTTTTAAACAACACGTTGTCTATAATGGCACGTCCTGATATCATCTTGGCCCTTTTTAAACAAGTCTATAAAACAAAACAGCCAAAAAGGGGAAAAAAACTACAAAAAACATAATTTCAGCACAATGAAAATTCAACAAATTGCAACTTGCATCATCCACGTACGCCAAAAGGATTTTGAGAATCGAAAGATTTTTTAATTTTAAATACGACCTACTTTCTCAAATAACTACAACACCTAAAAGTTAAGAGAAAAAAAAATCATTAAAAAAATAAACCAAGAAGTGTCTATCGTATTCGAGACTTAGTGAAGAACAACAATACTGATTTCTAAGAGAACAACAAAGGTTTAATCACTCATTTTTTTGTTCTTTGGGCGACTAGCTGCGTTACATCGTGTTCACTCAATATTCTATACACAACAGTATTCCCTAACTACGCCGCGCTAGCGAATGACATATTTTAAAAAATGATAATAAAGATACTTAATACTGATATCCATAATCTAACCCAATTATTTGTTAAAACTTACGAGTTATGTGACTGAATAAAACAGAAACGGACAAA